GCTAAAGAATGAGTTGGGAGATGAAAAATTTGAATAATCACCCCTACCCCCCCCCCCCCAATGAACAACATCACCAGAAGGGAAGGAGGGTGGACACATTCTTTCAAGAAAACCCAAAGACGTGTCTCCTTACCTTCAGCAAATGGCTCCCACTCGTAGAAACGGCCCATAAAAGGCTTGTTGTTGTACGATGCGCACTGCACCTCCCTGATGTTTCTGTTCTCAAGGCAGGCCTATTAAATAAATTGTGGGAAGGATATATTAACCACGGAGGCAAGAACATATTTTTTAATGGGCATCTGTGCCACAGGACATCTGAATGTACTGGTGAAAAATGTTATCCCTTCCAATAATACTGATGTTTCTACAATCCAAGAGCCACATCATCGATTTCTGGAAATATTTTTTACCCATAGGTTTCTAGGAATCTCACATTCAACAGCTTTGGATCCATTTCCCATCTTCTCAATTGTCCTAGATGTGCATCACCTGAAGATACTGGCAGAAAAGTCAAGGAATCTACATGCACTTAGTAAATATATAGGAAAGAAGGAAGTACAACAGAAGCCATGTTTACTGGCTCCTCTCTACCTTTATCAACTCAGATTGGTACTCCATCTCAAGGAAACCAGGAGAGAGAGAAGGGGCTTTGTCACCCACCGTTGCTTGAACTTTTAAAACTGGAAATCCAACTTAGAACTGTCTGTATGCAAAACAAACTATGCACAATTAAACTACAGTCCCTGTCCCAAAGGAATGGCACAAGATGGCATGTGCCAGCCAAAAATAAGCTGATGAAGACTTTAAAAAACAATTATTCTTGGGAGTGATGTGATACCTTACTGACTATACGGGTCATGTTTGCAGAAGACGATTGACTCAGTTAGCTTCTTCCTCAGTTAATAGACTCGCCTACTCGGGCTGGCTGGGAGTGGCCATTTTCTAAGTCATCCAAAAGCCACAAGGAGACTAAGAGACTAACACTACTGAGTTTAGAGGAGGACGTTCCCAAGAGCAAAATAAAATTTAAGCAATCCACAGGATTAAACAGAGCATATTAAGGAGCTCACCAGCCAACCCCTTTCTGCCCTCTTTTTAGCTGGTGTGAGGCTTTAAGAAGTAGAAGAATAGAGTTCCTAGAAGAGCCGCGTTTTCACATGGCCTCTCTAGGACTTGACTCCCAGAAAAGGGAGTGAACCCTCCTCTCTTCCTCCCCACAAATGATGGATCATAAGGAGGAGTTACTCCAGACAGCTCTGAGATTACTTGGAGCTAAAACTAGCCCCTTCCAAGTGAGTGGTCTGGATCAGTTGCACAAGTTAGGATGTTCTCGTGGCACACTAATTCTCCCCGATGACCCAGTTCAATGTGCTGTGAGATTGGGGTCACCTGGTGCTGCGTTCCATCAGAGAGGTTTGGAAGGGTACTAACGAACTGGTTGTGTAGACTGCATCTGGATGGATTAAGTTGTTTATGGAATCTGGCAAACTTCCACCCCAAAATGAGAGACCCTAGATCCTGTGGATCCTAGATCCACAGAGATGGAAAAGAATTGCTGCGCTTGTAGCTAACACACTGAGAAAGCCTAAAGTCAACTGGAAGATTGTGAGCGAGTTTCAGCATGCAGAGAATAAGAGAGGCCCGCCAGGCATGGAGGCTATTGATGGGGTTAAACTAAGGCCCCAGTCTGTATCCTTTCTCCTTGCAGAGCAGGCACCAGACTACAACCTCCTATTAAATCTCAGCATGTCCCTAGGGGAATTCTGGGAGTTGAAGTCCACACATCTTCAAGTTGCCAAGGTCGAGAAACGCCGCTCTATGGTAAGCCTCAAGGCCACTGTTATTTTGAGCAAATTCTTTCAGTACAGTCACACACTTGGCCATTCTCTCAGCTGCAGCCTCACTTTTATAAAATATGCTTTTAAAAATCCATCCAAATATCCCTTGCCTCTAAAGTCTTATTTATAGAAAATGTGTGTAATGCATGAGGCCCTTGGTTCAAAGAAAAACCTGTGAAAAGTTATTTCCATTGGACAAAAACTGGCTGAAAGTCTGAAGGCTGTCTAAAGAATAACTTTCTGGCTCCTCTGCTAACTGCGCCAGGCAAAGCTGAAATAATAATAATAATAATAATAATAATAATAATAATAATAATAATACACAGAACTGGTCCATTCTTTTCAGATATCCTCTTCTTGCTGGACTTGATTTGTAAGAACAGAACATTATTTCTTTGTTTTCAGACTTCGTATATTTGCGATGGGAAACATCTTTTCTCCCAGTAGTCCTACAGCTGTTGGCCCTGGTTGTTCAGCCAACAGCCCTGAGTCCTGTAGCCCACTTGTCACCAGATGTCCAGGAACCAGAACACCCAGCATGGTCTTTGTTGACCAGGGCGACGGTCGATCTGGTATGTGTTTCTGTAAGTTACGTCTCACCATATTGTTTATTGGAGAGACGCTCTTTGTCTGGCTCCTCTGAGGAGACCCATCCAGTATAGTTGAACATCTGGCATAGCTCTCATCCTCCTTGGAGCATGCAAGCCCCACAACCAGGGTAGTGCCTCACTGGGGCTCAAGATAGTGGCTCGCTGGGAATTAACAGACAAGCACACACCTACTGAAAAGAAAAGAGGGCTCCTTCCAAGTTGAGAGGAACCACATATGCTTTTCCTGAATAGTAAAGGAGCCAATTGCTGCAGGGCTACATTTGTTGTGATCCATCATGGAAAATTACTGTCAAGTCCACAAAATCCAAACCCCAATTCTCCTCGCAAAAATTGAGATGGCCAAGGGGCCCATCCAATCATTTATCATCAGCCTGTGGGTGCTACTGTAAACCTCTTCCCCGTGCCCACCACTGACCTGGATAAGCAAGAAATTGTATTTATTTTATTCTATTTATTTCATTATACAAACTCATAGGGCTGCCCATCTTAATTGGATATCTCTGGGCAGCTAACAGTGTACTTGTTCTAGGCATAGATCTAAACATATGAAGAGTTTGGCAATGCTTTGAAGTTGCACATTCCATGGACATTGTCAGACACATTATTCTATATGTTTAGAGCAACATGCATGAGGTTTTGCCAGCAGCATTGGCTACAAGGCTTGACCTTGATCCCACGCATGGCCTTGAAGCCACAAATCCGTTCTCGGTGGCTTGTTTCTTTGCGGAATCAAATCCCACTGTCTCAGTTACTCTTCAATCAGCAGCCCTCCAGAAACCACTCATAAGACAACATTGAGGTCTATATTTTTGACTTGTAGCTGGAGTTTGGCACTACCAACTAGCTACAGAAGTTCTCATTTGGTTTCTGACACCTTAAATCAATGGGCCTGTTTCCACACAGGAACACTACACCCATATTGGTCTAAGCTTACCAGCTGTACTTAGACAAAAGAGGAATAAGAAAAGAATAAATAAATAGGAGTATTCCCACAGTGTATTATAAATATTTGCAAAAGTTGCAGCAGGAACTACTACTGAAATGTCAGCTGCATTAAATGTAGTTAAAGTTAGGTAAATGTACATTGTCCTTTTCATTATTTCAGTGAGGAATCACATCCCTAGCGTGGTGGTCAAAGGTCAAGAAAAAGTTGTATGTCCCAGTTCAGGGGAGAGTAGAGAACCTTGAAAAATAAGTTTTAAAAAAGCTATTTCAAAAAGAGGTAAAGCAGCTTAATGACCTCTGATAAAAATCTAAGCAGGATAAAACCTGGTTAGTCCTTGAATTCCCATTATGGAATTCTAGGGCTATACGGTAGAGTGGGAAGCCAAAATGAAGGCAATGTTCAGCCATTTCTGTACTGTCACCAAGGAAATACATGGATGCATCCGCATAGTGCCCAGG